TAAATCATAAACAGAGAACCACTCAAACCCTTTCTTAAAAGCAGCTCGTTCTACTTCAAGGAATCAGACCCCACAAGAAGACAAGTGTAATGGTCTGCATATAAAGACAGAGCAAAAATGTCTCAGGATGTCATATGGGCTCCAATAATATAAAATCAGATAATAACTCAAAAAACCCCTTTTTTTCTTTCCACAATGTGAGACTCCAGCAACTGACAAGCGTTGGAATGCATATAAAAGAGTGCTCAAATAATGGTTCCATACTTCATAAATACCAAGAAATAAGAAACAAAATCATAAGCCAAAAGCTACTCAAACCCCTTCTTAAAACTTGTTCGAGAAAGTGAGACCTCCACATACAGACACGAGTTAGGATACGCCTGCAGGCAGAAAGATAGCTCAGACAATGTGCCCTACATTATACAGACGGTACGAATAAAAAAGATCAGATAAAAGACCCCCCGCTCTCCTTAAACAAAGTAAGACTTCATACACATGCGAGTTAAATTGCATCTGCATAGAATATTGCTCCAACAATTGTACCAGATCTTATAAACTCTTCACCAATACACAAGATGCATCAAACTCTAAGAGAAAACATTACTCAAATAATGGCTCATGTAAGAAGTTAAATCATAAACAGAGAACCACTCAAACCCTTTCTTAAAAGCAGCTCGTTCTACTTCAAGGAATCAGACCCCACAAGAAGACCAGTGTAATGGTCTGCATATAAAGACATTGAGCAAAAAATGTCTTAGGATGTCATACGGGCTCCAATCATATAAAATCAGATAACAACTCAGAAAACCCCTTTTTTTCTTTCAACAGTGTGAGACTCCAGCAACCGACAAGTGTTGGGATGCATCTGCATAAAAGAGTGCTCAAATAATGGTTCCATACTTCATAAATACCAAGAAATAAGAAACAAAATCATAAGCCAAAAGCTACTCAAACCCCTTCTTAAAACTTGTTCGAGAAAGTGAGACCTCCACATACAGACACGAGTTAGGATACGCCTGCAGGCAGAAATATAGCTCAGACAATGTGCCCCACATTATACAGACGGTACGAATAAAAAAGATCAGATAAAAGACCCCTCTTATAGTTAGGCAACCCATTTTTATTCAACGGAGAGTGAGATTCCATAGACAGATAAGATTTGCAATCTGCATAAACGAATGGTTCCAGACATCAAAGAAATAAGAAATTAAATTACAAGCCAAGAACTAACTGCAACAGAATTCTTTAAAACCAAATTCCTGCAAAAATTCACCAAATAGAACAACTGCAGAAGCTCCTCAAAATCTCTGGACTTAAGCAATAGATGCACTGCATAAGACACGAAAGGAAAGACAACCACAGAATTCATGATATTGAACATGTAACAGAAATAAGAAAGCAAACAGGGTCAATAAGGCAACTGCAGAAGCTACTCAAAATCTAATTCACCGATATTGAACATGTAAAAGAAACAAGAAAGTAAGAAGGGTGAATAAACAAAACCAGCACCCATGAGCTCAATTCATTCCCATGCCCCAAGGAAAACTTTGTCCCTAAGACAAGAATTAGGATGCATCTACTTCAGATATTGCTAAATAACAGCACTAAATCTTACAAATCCTTAAGATGGGAAATTAAACAAAAGGAAAGAAGAATTAAACCCCCTCTTAAATGGTATGTCAATTAGAACCCCACAGAAGAAACCTGAAAAATACAAAGTACCCAATATTCATTTAGGGGGTAAGAGAGAGAGAGAGAGAGAGAGAGAGAGAGAGAGAGAGAGAGAATTTAAAAGTAGGAAGTTAACACGATCTTGTTAAGAAACCAAACCAGAATTGCTCCCCACAACAGAGTCAAAAACATTAAATGCAACCAACTCTCCATACGCATCAAATCACGAAAATAGGGAATCATCATTAAGAGAATGTCAAACCAGACTGCTATACAATTTGGGAGACCAAATATATGGAATGACAACCTTAGAAATAAACCAACGAAAGGAAGACAAAACATAAAGGCTTAAGCACTGTTTGGCAGTAATTATCTAATAGCTTAAAGACCATAAAGCAACATATATCGAACAAATACATGGCAGCACAGAAGGAAGTAAGGGACATAATATTATATCTTCAAACGAAGAAAAAAAAGATTAATAAGATTGATGGTGATTTTGAAAATATCCCCCCATAAACCAAGAAGGGTGAATAAAAACCAGCAGCCTTGAACTCCACTCAAACCCGTGCACCAAGTTGAAACTTTGTCCCTAAGACAAGAATTAGGGTGCATCTACATAAGATATTGCTAAAATAACAAGCACCGAATGTAATAAATTTTTGAAATGTAAAACAAAAGGCAACAACAATAAACCCCTTCTTAGGTAGCATGTCAATTCAAACCCGACAGAAGAAACCTGAAAATACATAATACCTAATATTAATTAAGTGTTAGAGGGAAAGATATACACTTAATATATAAATAAATAAAACAATAAAAGAAAAATATTTAACATGTTCTACCCAATAATTTAGGACATCAAACGAGCAGAGAATAAAACATAGACTTGCATAATGCGGACTAAAACAAGTCTCTGCATTATGCAAGTCTGCACAAGACACCAATGGAAAAACCACAGAAACGATATTGAACAAGTAACAAAAATAAGAAACAAGGTGAACAAACACAACCAGCGGCTTTGAGTTCTCAAACCGGTGCCCCCAGGTGAAACTTTGTCCCTAAGACAAGAATTAAGGTGCATCTACATAAGATGTTGCTAAAATAACATCACCAAATGTAATAAATTTTTGAAATGGGAAACAAAAGGCAACAGCATTAAACCCCCTCTAAGGTAGTAAGTCGAATCAAACCCAACAGAAGAACCCTGAAAAATACATAATACCTAATATTAATTTAGGGGGAAGAGAGAGAGAGAGAGAGAGAGAGAGAGACTTATATAAATCTTAAAATATTTAACATGTTCTCACAATAATTTAGGACATTGAACAAGTAGAGAATTAAACAATTTCATCAAAAACCAAACGCAAACATATTCTCCCAATAACCTATTTCCACTTCCAATTAACTGAGGCGTAAACATCTAAAACCAAATTCCTACAAAACAAATCACCAAACAATGCAAATGCAATCACTACATAATGTGGACTAAAGCAAGACATCGACGGAAAACAGACCACAAAATTCACAATATTGAACAAGTAACAAAAATAAGAAACCAAGGAAAGTGAACAAACAAAACCAGCGGCCTTCAGCTCTCAAACTGGTGCGCCCAGACGAAACTCTGTCCCTAAGACAAGAATTAGGGTGCAACTACATAAGATATTTGCTATAATAACAATACCAAATGTATAAATAAAAAAAATGAAATGGGAAACAAAAAAGAAACATCATTAAACCCCTTTTATTGTAGTAAGTCAATTCAAACCCAACAGAAGAAACCTGTTAAATACATAATACCTGACCAATTTAGGGGTGAAATACAGAGATATTGAGAGAGAGAGAGAGAGAGACTTGTATAAAATTTTAAAAATAAATAAGAGAAAAAAAAACCATCACCAAACAAGGCAACTGCAGTAACTGCTCAAAATCCTGATAATCACTACATAATGTGGACTAAAGCAAGACATCAATGGAAAGACAGAAAACAGTATTCAAGATATTGAACACGTAACGAAAATATGAATCCAAGGAAGGTGAACAAAAAAAACCAGTGGCCTTGATCTCTCAAACCCGTGCCCCCAGGTAAAACTTTGTCCCTAAGACAAGAATTAAGGTAAGATATTGCTAAAAAAACAGCACCAAATGTAATAAATTTCTGGAATGGGAAACAAATGGCAACAACATTAAACCCCCTCTTAGGTAGTACGTCAATTCAAACCCAACATAAGAAACCTGAAAAATACATAATACATAATATTAATTAAGGAGTGAAATAGACAGAAAGATAGAGAGACGTATAAAAAGTTTAAAAAACTTGAGAGATAAAGGATTTAACATTTTCTCCCAATAACCTAATTCCAATTCCTTCATTAACTGTGGCGTTAAAACCAAATTCCTGCAAAACATCAGCAAACAAGGTAACCCCAGGAACTGTTCAAAATCCTGATAATCACTACATAATGTGGACTAAAGCAAGACACCAACATAAAGACAGACCAAATAATTCACGATATTGAACAAGTAACAAAAATAAGAAACCAACGAAGGGTAACAAACAAAACAAGCAGCCTTGAGCTCTCAAAACGTTTCCCCATGGTATAACTTTGTCCCTAAGACAAAAATTAGGTTGCATCTACATAAGATATTGCTAAAAAATCAATACCAAATTTAATAAAAATTTTAAAAGGGAAACGAAAGGGAACAGCATTAAACCCCCTCTTAGGTAGTATGCCAATTCGAAACAAATGGAAGAAACCTGAAAAATACATAGTACCTAATATTAATTTTAGGGTGAGAGAGAGAGAGAGACACTTGTATAAAAAAAAAATTAAAAAATTAAAAGAAAAAGATTTAACATGTTAACCAAACCAGAATAGCTCCCATAACAGTGTCCTAAACTTTTAGCTCCATCCAACTTAGTCTCCATAAGCACTTTAATCACAAAATTAGTGAATCATCAAGACAATACCTAACCACACTGCTATACAAATTCGAAGCCCAAATATATGCAATGGCAACCATAGAAATGAACAAACTTTAAAAAAACATAACGCTAAAAGATAAGCGCCAAACCACTTTTGGTTGTAATTATTAATAGCTCAAAGACCATAAAGCAAAATATATAGACCATACATGGGAATAAAGAGGTAAGTGAGAAATACTCGGGGTCTGTAATCAAAACATTGAATAATTTTATATCTTTGAAAAAAAACAATTACTATATCTTTGAGATAAGAAGAAATTAAAATAGACCCTTTCATTCCAACTGAGAAAATCAATAGAAAGCCAAAACTGAGGACATAAAAACCCGTTTAGAACATACCCAAGAAACAAGAAACACATCGAAATGAAAGGCTATGAACTAAGAAGGTTAACAATGTACCCCACGAATTCTGGAATTAGTATCTGTCAATATAAGAGCAGAAAGTTCGGCATGATTATAGGGAAAAGGAGGACATAAACATGATATTACTTGCAAATTTCAGTGACTTGAAAGATATATAAAGACGTGCATTTTGACAAACTGTAAAAGAATAAGCACGTAACCAAAAACAATAATCCATACGCAGCAAACCAATGAAAACCTTTACAAATGGAGTGCACTACCCCTATCCAAAGACAGACTGAAAAGGTGCAGACATAAGCTCAAATCCGCGACACTATTACTATATCTCCTGCAAATCAATAGATCCAGATTGACAATTTTGAAATTCAACATTCCATTGCATCCGCAAAACAGTATAAAATCCAACCTCATAGCCATCCAATCAGATCCCATAAGAACCTATGGAGTTATCAGCTAACCATAACATCTAACCCTCGTGTGTCAAACACCGAAAACGAGGCCTGAAAAATAACAGCAAAGCTCCGCTTATTTGATTGATAAAAAACGAGGGAAATTTCCAAATCATTATATTCTAAACTTCAGAACAAAATCATGCAGTTTTCCGTCCAAATCAAAACGCAAGCAGAACTAGATGCCCTGGCACACATCACCATCAGGGCACATCTCACCATCAGGCCAATCAAAACACATACGCATATCAATAAAGACGAACTTCGGCCTCAAATCAACAAATTCTATCTATACAAAACAACTAGAAGATCCAAATCGAATTCAAAGGAGTTTCATACCAAACACCTACTTCACCATGATCGACGATCTTGTTTGGGTCTCATCTGAACCAATAAAACAAGCCTGCAAATACACACAACCTCTGGTTCTTCATATCGTCACAACCTTCAACGGTCATTAGATTCCACTTTTAATCGGTAGCAAAATCCATCCCCAAACACTACAGCATAGCGATAAACAAAACTTAATCCATCTATATCTAAATCATAGAATCAAACCCATCCATCCATATCTAAATCATAAAATCAAACCCAAACAGAAGAAGCGAATCAACAAAATCCGATAATCTACACAAAACGAAACCTGATCGCCATCGCCCTTTCGTTCAGGGAACAGCAGAATGATTTGTGAGAACGTCTGAAGGGTATTTATGAGGAGAGGGGGTCGGCATGAACGGCCAAGATTAAGCCGCTGATGGAAATAATAGACGGTGGATGTGTAAGTTGTAACGGACAGTGATGAGCTGTCAACGCGGTTTTTCTTGGTCGGTTGTAATGACTTGAAATCAACGCTACTTTCTCTTTTTTTATTTTATTACTTTCTATATTTGTGGTGGTGAGGACGCGCACGCCTTGTTGGATCCGGATTCCTTTTGGATGGAAAAAATTAAAAATTAAACTAAAAAATAAAATCTGCCACGTGGTTTTTGTGCGAAGACTCGCAATCCGTGTTGCGCCAGGATTCCTATACACATTCGCATTGAGAAAAATAAAAGGAAACTGACACGTGTCCAGACCTTGTTGGACCAGGATTCCTATAAAAGTTTGGATGAAAAAAATTAAAACAAATAAAAGAAAAGAAAAGCTGCCACGTCTTTTTTTGAAAATTCTCGAAGCAAGTGGCAGTGTAACAATACTGGCCTAGGCTAATTCTTGGCGCTGTCAACACCCTGTGATTAGCCCAAGATCTCTAGTTTCATGAAGCCCAAGATCTCTAGTTTCATGAAGCCCAATTGCCAAGAGTATATCCGGACACAAAGAAGGAAGCCCATCAAGGGGTGACTTTTTTTATAAGGTAATGCTAGGGAGACCATCTATTTGTACCATATTTGTGTACCAACTGATGTGGCTGTTGAGTTGGCTATGCCACATCATTAAATGAGTTTTATTTTTTTATTTTTTTATTTTTTTTTTCAACTTTCACTTTACCAAAAAGTCCACAGCCCCACCATCTCTCTCCTCTCACGCCATTGCACAAGCCAGCCCCTCATGAAAACCACCACCACGCCACCACCCCTTCTCTCTCTCTCTCTCTCTCTCTCTCTCTCCACCCAACCCAAAAATCCGGCCATAAACACAGCCACATCCCAGATTCTGATCAAAGAATCAAAAATAGCTAGTTATGAGACCACCACATTAGCCATCCGTAGAAAGAACCAAAGACTTCGGGCTCGTTTGGTATATAGGACTGTCTTGGTATGGACTATGCTTAGGGACTGTCTTGGCTTGGCTTGGCTTGGTCTAAGTTGGATAACATTTATCCTGCGTTTGGTGTACGCTTGGACTAGGACTATATTTTTTTATTTTTTTTTCAAAACTATCTATGTATATGTATGTATGTATAAATACATGTATTATGTATGTGTACATATGTATTTTATAATATATGTGACATGTATGTGTATATACATGTATATATGTATATTATAAATAATAGGCTTATTATCACAAAAGGTCCCTAAGGTTTACGAAACTATCAGATTGCATCCTTAATGTTTTTTTGTGTCACTCGTGGTCCTCAAGGTTAGTATGTATAATCACAAATGGTCCCTGCCGTTAGGTTCCGTCAAAAACTCCGTTAGTTTGCTGATGTGGCATATATACATATCACAAAACAT